GAGCTGCTGATCCACAGAGAGACACCAAAAGGTGTTGCCATTGTAAATACTGTTATTGGTTGTTGGTGTGTGCCTTAGGGAAACCTATCATGGGATTTTCTTGGCAAGATTTGGTCACAGGAGGTTTGCAATTGCCTTCTCCTGAGGCTGAGAGAGTGTGACTTTCCCAAGGTCATCCAGTGGGTTTTATGGCTGAGCAGGGAATCAAATCCTGATCTTCATGCAGTCCAACACTCAAACCACCATGCCATGCTGGCTCTTAAATACTGTAAATATTGTAACAATTCATAAGTAGGTCATAATACTGAAAATGACAAAAATTATTGGTCTAGATCCATTGATCCAAAGTATAAATCCGACAGTCAATCAATTTCCTCCATATAAAGGGTTGTCTAGCAATTATCAAATGAGAATTACCCCATAGGGTATGACCATATAGATCAAACTGTAATTGACAAGACTGTATGACAAACCAGCCTGGCAGCAGAGATGGTAGGATCATCCATATTATTCAGCACCAGCCACTGTAGTGTTAAATCTCCTTCTCTCCCTCCCACAGTTGAAAAATGCAACTGAACATCATTGTTTTCAGAAAGTACATGGATCCCAAAAGTAGATACAAAACTGAAGCAGTTTAATAAAATTATTATTAAAAGCAGCAACTACTTCAGCTTGGAATGGGAGTGATAAACAGTATGCAATTGCATTTAAAGAATTTCTAGTGCTTGGGTATGGAATTCAGAGGATGGTGCTAAAGGCGACAAATAAATTCCATGGCACCAGTGTCACGTTTTATAGATCCAAAAGTTTTCTTCTTTCTCAGCCGCTAAGCAACAATGATATAAAGTAATTACATATTTGGGGGGAAAACACTTTGTATCCCTTGAGCACTTGTTTCCCACAACAACAGTCAATTAGAAAGGGCTTTTATTTTTTCTTGCTCCCTGAACATGGAAGAGAATCATGTGAAGGAATATAAGGGGTGTAGCTACACTGGAGAATTAATAATAATAATAATAATAATAATAATAATAATAATAATAATAATAATAATAATTTATACCCCGCCCCTCTGTTAAAACAATCGAGGCGGCTTACAACAATTAAAATACATCAGTACAATCTAAAAAACCCAACCCCCACCCTCTCCCATAAAAGCATATTAAACCAATATACATTAAAACCAAATAAATCAACTAACATACAATAATAAGTAAAAATAAATAGATAGAAATCAGACAGCGGCAATCCCCCCCTCCAAAAAAGGGGGGCAAGGGTATAACTCTTAAAGTCGGGATTAATCAGGAAAGGCCTGCTGAAAGAGATCTGTCTTTACCGCCTTTTTGAAACTACTCAGGCACGTAATCTGACGGATCTCGTCTGGCAGGCCGTTCCATAATCTGAGGGCGATTACCGAAAATGCCCTCTGGGAGGTTGCAGACAGCCTAGATTTTTGTGGCTAAGCAAATTCCTTCCAGAGGACCAAAGTGCATGGGGAGGATTATATGGGAGGAGGTGGTTCTGAAGATAAATTGGA